TAGTCTTAGCCCTTCCTCCACAACACTGCAGAGATGAATCTACTGGCATCTAACATTGTGGGCTCCTTTCCAATCTTTCCTTAAAATAAAATTCCTGGAAGCAGAATTTCTGAACCAAAAGGCATATGCTTTTTTTACTTTAAAATTTTTAGAATTGTTTTAGCTTTATAGAAAACTACAGATACTGCAGACAGTTCTAACAGCCCATGTTCAATTTCTCTTAGTATTAACACTTTACATTTTTGAAGCTCCTCATATTTGTCACCATTGATGAACCAATATGGATACATAATTATTAACTAAAGTCCATTATTTCTCCACGTATTTATTGAGTGCTTCCTATGTGTCAGGCACACAGATAGAAAATATTTAATCATGGGCTCTTGGATCCCAATCAGGAGCTCCTGAAAAAACATCATTGGGTCATCCTGGATAGAACACCACATAATTTTAATTCTCAGAAATAATTTCAGCAGTTTTGTTTTCCACCCATGTAACATGTCTCTCCATCTGTATCACCAATCATTGTTGACAGAAAAGCTCCTATGTACAAAAGGTAGTAGAAAATTCGCAGACAAATTTCCCACCTGGTGGGAAACGAGACAACGTATCCTAGGAATAATAGAAATAGAGAGTAGAAAGTGTTAACTGTATAAAAGGACCTGCACAGAAGAGGGAGAAATGACTACAGCAGTGGGTAAAGCCTGTTTTTTACTCACACTTCCTTAGTTTTTACCTACTGTACTTTTTTAAGTCTAAGATGCCATCCAGGTCACACATTTTTTAGTCATCATGTCTCCATAGGCTTCTCTAGGTTGTTTCACTCCCATTACATTATATCCATGCTGAATATCACTGGAAATTACTAATTTTTTGCTTCTTTTTATTTTGTGTCTGTGAAAGGAAATCACAATGTACAGTTCAATTTAAGAAATTAGGTTGCTGTTGTTAGGTGCTGTGGATAGGAGTCGGTAGACTCCTAGCGACCCTATATAGGGTTTCCAAGGAGCGGCTTGTGAGTTTAACACACTGCCATCCTTGCAGTTGGCAGTCCAGGGCTTATCCTACATAGCCATAGAAGTTGTGTTTACATTAATTACCTATATAAATAATTTACAGTGTTTCACAGGAAATGTCTCTTTCCCCCCACTTATTTATTCATCGATTATATATATATATATATAAAATCAGTATGGACTCCACTTTATTTCTTTTATATTTAGGGTTATAAATCTAATACAATCTTATTAACTTTTTGCTCGAGGCATGTGATAGATAACTTTAATGTTGAGTACGCTGCGGGTTAATGCCCTGCACTCAAGGTCGGTTTGAGCCAAAAGGTCAGCGGCTCACGCTCACCATCCGCTCCTTGGAAACGCTATATAGGGTTGCTATGATTCAGAATCAATTCGATGGCACTTAACAACAACAAACTTATTGCAAAGGCATCCTTGCCACAGGTTGTACCAACTCTTACAGTTAAGACTAAGATCCAATTTTCCCAACATTCTTTATTAAAGTAGGTCAGCAATTAAGGGCAAGGTCACTGCCATTCCTTTACGCCTATTTTCCAGATGCCTCCAAAAAAGATGCCAATTCTCAGGAAAAGAACCACTCTCCGCCCTCCCCAACTGCCGCCAGACCTTATCTCTTTTCCCTACACCCCGATTCCCCATAGCTCCGCCCCTAAAGGGGCGGAAGTGCTGCAAGTCAACTCCTCCTACTCTGTTCCGGCCCAGACCGGAAATGAGGTCAGAGAGGGAAACCCTGGCAGGGAGACTGGGCCCAAAAAGCGGCGGCGGGAGGAGGCGGCTGCTGTAACTGGTGAGGCGGAGGAGTGGGATGAGGTTGTCGGGGTTCAGGGGACCCGCTCCAGCGTGGATCAGGACTCCGGGTCGCCGTTAAGAGGCTAAGGTTGCTGTGGGGCCGGCGGGAGGGGCAATAGTGGTAAGGCCTTGCTTTTCAGGGCCATGGCCCCCATCCCGGGGAGTAAAGATAAGGCCGTCCCCGGGGCTACACAGTCCCTTCGTTTTCATTCAGCATTCTGTTCTTTTCGGGTCGGCTGTAGTGAAAGGGCTTGGTGCCCCGAGCCTTGGTCTCCTTACTCTTCGATGAGTCAGGGCGTGGATGAGAGTCCCCCGAAATACGCTTTCCTCTCCTATGTGGCCTTGTTGCTATCCCAGAGCAAGGAGGGAGTTCAGTCTCCCAAATTCGCCTTTTGTGAATCTCTAGTGAAAGCTAGCTTGTGACCCAGAAGGGTTGACCCCTGTCCCTGGTGAGCTCAGATGAGAAGTTGCGTCGTGCTTCCCCGCCTTCCCTTCAACTGTCTCTGCCTTACTGTCCACCAGCTTCCTGTTCTTTCTTGAATGGGACTTAGACTAACGTCTCTCTGGGGTGTGCCAGAACACGGGGGTCCGAGCTAGGATTCGGGGGGCTCCCTCAGAGCCTGCACCGAAACTGGAAGCCTGGGAGTCTAAGGGTTCTTTTTTGTCACTTACTGTTTGCATTGCAGCCTTTGGGGCAGGAAAGGGTTCTGAATAGGCATTCGTTTAGAAGTTGTGCGGTTAACTTCGTACCACGGTAAAGTTTGTACAGATCTGAGTTGTTTTTTTAAGTTGTAGTTCTTTACTGTTGTGTTGTGCACCATTTGGTTCCAACTCATAGTGACCCTGTGCAGAGTTTCCAAGATTGTAAATCCTTAGGGGAACAGGAAACCTCATCTTCTCCAACGGAGTGCCTTAGGGACTGAAACCAACAACACACCGATGCTTATCTTACAGAGCCACACCGGGAGTTCTTAGTTCTTTATTAGGGAAGATGATTTAAACATGCTGTTCCCACATGGTTAGTTTATTTGAATTTTAGAGACAGTTTCCAAAACTCCCATAATAGCATTTTAAAGCTGCTGTTTATTACTTAAGGGAATGAGGTCTTTTCTATGGGTGTGACTTTTGACACTGAGAAGTTTTGTTTCGGTGATAGTTTTGGAACTAGATGTCCTCATTGCTCTCACAGATGTGACCGATAAGCCAGCAGGCTGTTTTCCTGCCTTTTAATTCATTGGCATAGGGACAGCATGAAAATAGGTCTTAGAAAAAACCCTTTGCAAAATGTAAACTGCATGAACGGAAATATGGTCTCAGAGTGGAGCCACACAGGGCTTTAACCACTAATTATGGTCCTGAAATGGTTTGGGTCTAATGAGGGCCAAAGAAGTGATAATTTAATGTGTATTATGATCAGGAGTTGGAAACATTATGTTAGACGTTTCCTATTAAAAGGGAGTTTTGAAAATTGCTTATATACTACTTGCATTCCTTGGAGGTTTGAATGTGAAGTGTCTCCACAAATGTGATGGTTTGAGGAGAATGAGGAAAAAAATGGAACTTTCTGGAAAGCAGCCAGAAATCTTAGAGGCTCCACTCAAGGGTGGATTACCCAATAAGCAATGGGTAAGAATGGGTTTACTTAATCCTCTGGTAGCGTAGTGGTTACAAATCAGGCTGGGAGCCGCAAGGTCAGCAGTTCAAAACTACCAGCTGTTCCGCGGGAGAAAGATGAGGCTTTCTGCTCCGGTAAAGATTTACAGCCTTGGCAACCCTGTTCAGGGTTGCTATGAGTCAGAACTGACTCCATGGCACTTAACAACAACAACAACATAGAGAACTAGTAAAAAACATGTGAACTGTTCGCTACAGATTAGTAAGTTGTTGTTGTTAAGTACCGTGGAGTTGGTTCTGACTCATAGTGACACTGCACAGGGTTTTCCAGGCTGTAAATCTTTACGGGAGCAGAAAAGCCTTATTTTTCTCCCGCAGAACAGCTGGCAGTTTCAAAATGCTGACCTTGAGGTTAGCAGCCCAATTCGTAACCACTACGCTACCAGAGCTCCTTAGACTAGTAAGTAAACACAAGTAAGTCAGTGCTTACCTTTCTTATTCGACACTCTGTACCTGTCAAGGTTTATAAATATGAAAAGAGACTTTTATTCTGTAGGAAGGTGCTGGGGGTTGACAGTTGCCAACCATACCTGGAAGCAGAGTCATTGATGTGCTGCCAAAAAATGTGAAATTGAGTAAGCCCAAGTAAGCCCATGCTTACCTTGCTTATTGAGTAATCTAACTCTGGCTTCACCCCATATCTGCTAGTCTAGCCTCAGTAATTTCCTGTTCTTTGTGTGTGTGTGTGGTTAAAAAACGTAATTAGGCTGAGTATGTTATTTTGAAAGATGGGGGAAAAGAGCCTAAAAGTTGTTAATTGTTAAAATATTGTAATAGAAAAAAAGTGCACATGAAAAAAGCCCACACAGAAAAAAGTTCGTGTCCTCGTGTGCATTTATCATAGTGAGGTTTTTACTGTGTGGGCTTTTTTCGTGTTTTTCCCCTAAGTAAAGAAAGATATCTAACATAGTCTCTAGAGGCTAAATTTACTTGGTAGCTACTAGGTGGTAGTCCAGACCAGAACGGGTGCAACTGAGTCTCTTTGTTCCATTCTGAGTGCAAACCTGGGTCACTACCAGACTCTTGGATCACTAAAACTGCAGACAGTCTTCCTTAGAGTGTGTCACCTGATTGTTTTTCTGTCCCTTGCCACATGCCTTCTCACTAATGACCCAGACTACAGAACAGCAATCCTTCATTCATTCTCAATACCATGGCGAGATGGTACCCTAACTCTACCCTGGCTCTGAAGTTGTGTGGTGGTCTGCCCCTGTCTGATGAGATCGTTTCTGATCTGTTGGTTCTTATGATCACGTAATTCAGTTACCAGTCCCCTGGGGACTATCAGTCCCTGTGTTGACTTCAGGCACTATTTTTAGTGGCTTAGGGGAACATGGGTGATAGGGACAGAGTGAAAGTGTGCCAGCTATAAGGGGACTGTGTTATCTCTGCCCAGTGTGGACTCTGCAGTGCTACCTTTTATTTTATAGCATTATTCTAAATGGCCAGATTTGATTCAGGTTTTTCTTTCTTGAACTTCCTTTTGGCAGATGCGGCCTCATGGATGAACTGGTACATGACTTGGCCTCAGCCTTGGAACAGACATCTGAGCAGAATAAGCTGGGTGAGCTGTGGGAGGAGATGGCCTTGAGCCCCCGGCAGCAGAGGCGGCAGCTTCGCAAGCGGAGAGGCCGGAAGCGCCGCTCAGACTTCACTCACCTGGCTGAGCACACCTGCTGCTATAGTGAGGCATCGGAGTCCAGTCTGGATGAGGCCATTAAGGACTGTCGAGAAGTGGCTACTGTCACCAATTTTAGTGACTCCGATGACACCATGGTAGCCAAACGACACCCAGCTCTCAACACTGTTGTTAAGACTAAGCAACATTCCTGGCATGAATCCGACTCCTTTACTGAAAATGCACCCTGTCGACCACTCAGGCGCCGGCGGAAGGTGAAGCGAGTGACCTCCGAGGTTGCTGCCAGCCTTCAGCAGAAGCTCAAGGTGTCGGATTGGAGCTATGAGAGGGGCTGCAGGTTCAAGTCAGCTAAGAAGCAGCGTCTGTCACGCTGGAAGGAGAATACTCCCTGGACCTCCTCAGGCCACGGGCTCTGCGAGGCAGCAGAAAACAGGACTTTCCTAAGCAAAACAGGAAGGAAAGAAAGGATGGAGTGTGAAGCGGATGAACAAAAACAGGGCTCTGATGAGAACATGTCAGAATGGTGAGAGTCCCCTTACTGAGTCACAAGAATCTCCTGTTCGTTTTACCCAAAGTGCAAACCCATGGTTTTGATGAGCACAACTTTCTTTCAAAACCCACTCCTGTACTATTGATTTGGTAGCCTTCCTTTAACCAATCAGCTTGTTTGTCTCTAGACTTTTAAAGGACCATCCATGACTTTCTTTGCCTATGTCAAGAAGGCTATGCGTAATACAGTTTTAAATGTGTCCCTCAAATGTGTAACTGAGAATTTCATATTTAAACACAATTTGCTGCTATTTTCCATACGTAGTTCAAACCAGGGTCTCAGCAGAGGCTGGGTGTGTGTGTGTGAGAGAGAGAGACAGACTGACAGAGACAGAAGGGAGAAATATGCTGGCTTTATGCCTAGGCAAAACTTCTGGGTTTCTGTCTTTCTCCATGAATAATTCCTTTAGATACTTTGTGCTGTAATTCTGTTCCATGTGACAAAGAAGCTGACTGTATTGAGTTAATATTTTACAGCTGGCAGTCAAGATGTCAGAACCCATGGTGGGCTTTGAAAATAACAATACTGAGTCCCATTTTTGTTGTTAGGTGCCATTGAGTTGGTACCGACTCATAGGGACCCTACGCACAGCAGAACGAAACACTGCCTGATCCTGGGCCAGCCTCACTGTTCATGCCATACCAAAGTAGTCAAGCCTGAAAATCTCTCTATTGGCTTTAAGTGTCAGTGTCGCTTTTGGTATCTATTACATTATAGTCCTAGGAAGACTGATATTCAGTTGATGCTTCCATATTGTTATTAACACTGACCTCTATATCTTTCTCACGGAGGGTGCAATTGGTGTTTTCGATGGCACCATTCTTTGTGCTGAGGGATTTGTGCTTGCATTGCAGGATGGTTAGCATCTAGACATTGTTGTAGCCTCTCCCTCCATATTCATGAATGCTCTCTGGGTAGGCTGAGCTCTCCAGGTAAAGAAACATTGTATTCTCTTATTGTGAGTACAGTGAAGCCTGTGTTTTGCCAGGTCTTGCAAGTTTCCGGCCTTGACAGTGTAAATTCTCACCACTTTTTGTCCACTCTCTATTAGTGAAAAGTATTTGAGCCTTCCTTCTCTGGCAGGTTCCAACTTATACAGGTTTTACTGCGCAGGTAGCCCACAACGTACACCAGGTTCTGTTGTGAGTTGCTTCTGACATAAGTCGAACACCTTTGTGTTTTTTTCAAGTTTTCATGATTGCCTTTTATTGTCAGTATCTTTATAATTCATAACATTGAACATCTGCCAGTAGACATCTAAGAATGACTTCATCAGCAAATGATGCACTGCAGCAATAAGATTTTAGAAAACACACACAAAAAACCAGATGTTTGCAACCGCGCGGTTCCTTGTAACTCAAGTATGTCATAAGTTGATGAGAACTTATATTGTTGTTGTTGTTATATGTCGTGGTTCCGACTCATAGTGACCCTGCACAGGATTTCCGAGGCTGTAAATCTTTATGGGAGAAGAAAGCCTTATCTTGCTCCCGTGGAACAACTGGGAGTTTCCAACTGCTGACCCTGAATATAGCAGCCCGATTCGTAACCACTATGCTACCAGAGTCAAGATTTATTAAGTTAATATTATGACTCTGTGTTAGGGAAGGAGCTCTGGTAAAACTGGTTAAAACGCTCAGCCTAGAGTGAACGCGCCCATCGCTTTGGGGGAGAAAGGTGTTGCAGTCGGCTTCCATAAATGTTTACAGCCTTGGAAATCCTCTGGGGGGAACAGTTGTGCTCTGTCTTAGAGAGTCCCTATGAGTTGGAATTGACTTGATGCCCCTGCGTTAGTTTTTAGTGTCAGGCACTGTACTATTTATACTAACATAAGGGGTCCTGGTGTGGCGCTGTGGGCTAATGCATCAGGCTGCAGTAGTTTGAATTGCAAGGTTGGTGGTTCAAGCTCACCAGCTGTTCCTTGGAAACCCTACACAGGATCGCTGTGGGTTGGGATCGACTTGAGAGTACTTAACAACAACAACAGCATTCTTAATGAACGTTCACAACTTTGTTAAACTGGCCTTGCAGTATGGTAGGTGTCATTGTTTGTATTTTATAGAAGAGGAGACAGAGTGAGTGTTCAGATAATTGCCCAAGGTCACTCAGTGGTGAAACCGGTTCCAAAGCTCATACTTGCCCACCATGCTTTGCTGCCTTTGAAATTTGCCTTTTCTATGACCGTTTTTCTTTCTTGTCTTAACTTTCACAACTGCAGAACATATGACCTCTCTTAGCACTTTGGTTCTACTCAAGTTTGTCTTGAAAACAAAGACATAAATCTTAGGCACCCTGAGGTGAGTTTGTGCAGTTATAGGTAAAGCTGTGTCGCTCTGTGTGCCTGCCCCTGTCGTGGATGGTTTATAGCTCAGCTTTTTTATTTGTCTTACTAAACTTTATATATTCCAGCCTGCAAAAATATAGGTAGGCACATAATTTGGTTTTCCTAATTTTCCTCTAATACATATTCTAGTGCCTGTTTACCTAGTTTTTATATACAGCAAAACCTGTGAAAGCTGAAATCTGTCAGAGGGAACACTCAAATATTTTCCACTAAAATGAGCTATAGGAGCTCTGGTGGTGTAGTAGTTACGAGTGGGGCTGCTAACCTCATGGTCAGCGGTTCGAAACTACCAGCTGTTCTGTGGGACAAAGATGAGGCTTTCTGCTCCCGTAAAGATTTGGAAACCCTGTACAGGGTCGCTCTGAGTCGGAACCGACTCCACGGCACACAACCACCAAAGTGAGCTACAGAGAAATGGCATATCTACACCCTATCAGAGGTGGAAAACCTGTGAGACCCAGAAAAACCAGGCAGTCCTAGTGAGCCCAATTTCTCACAGATTTCACTGTATAATCCTGGATTCAACCTGTGTTTTTCCTTCATTATATGATTTTAAAGAAGAAAGATGCTTAGCCAACTTTGTATAGCTTTTCACAATTTTGAAACCGTCTTGAGACATTCAAGTTTATTTTTATATCCAGCATACATACATCAGAAATATGAATCTTCTTACTATTGAGAACTGGCTATTTTAAAAATAACTTTGGCATGCTAGCTTGTGTATCTTTCTTCCCCACTATTTCTTGTTAAATTGTGGCAATCGTGTGTGTGTGTGTGTGTGTGTCAGAGAGACTCTTTGTTTACTCCAAGATCACAGCCCAAGTATAGCTCCAAATGCAAGCCTGTATTCTAGCAGGGAGGCACTTCAGTCTTTATGTTTTTTTCTTATCCCGAACATATCAATTGCACACTGTAGTCAGGCTGTGACTGGATAAATTCTAGGTATCAAGGAGCCTGGGTGAATTGAAGTTGGCAGGAATCTGATGGTACTCTTACTCTTCAAAGGGAAGAGACCCCCTTCCACAGTTCAGACTGTCTCCCTCCTGTTCTGATTTCAGAGGTTTTTCAGTAATGTTAATTCCAAAGTCCTTATAGCTATAAAGAAATAATGGGTGGAGAAGCATCAGATGTTAGAATGAGAAAGTTATTTGTTGTTGTAAGTGCTGTCAAGTTGGTTCCTACTCACAGAGTTTCCGAGGAGCGACTGGTAAGCTTGAATTGCCAACCTTGCAGTTTAAACCGACCTTGCAGCCCATTGCATTAACCCACAGCACCATACCAGGAGTCTTTGTTATTGTTGTTGTTAAGTGCTGTGGAGTCAGTTCCGACCCCTAGTGTCCCTGCACAGGGTTTCCGAGGCTGTAAATCTTTATGGGAGCAGAAAGCCTCATCTTTCTCCTGCGGAACAGCTGGTAGTTTCAAACTGCTGACCTTGCGCTTCCCAGCCCGAATCGTAACCACTACACTACCAGAGCTCCTTAGGACTCTTTTTAGGAGTCATGAATTCCCTATGACTTGTGAAATTCACTGGTAGTTACAAACATAAGTTTCCCTCCTTCCCCTCTATTCATCCTGTGAGGAAAGAGAGGCCATTGTTACTCTTTGACGGCATGTTATGTTTCTTTTTCCTTGCAACAATACAGAAGAAAGAAAATCCTTTCATTTTCAAGCTGCTGTCTGTTATTAAGTGCTCCTTATAAATGTGGCTAGAATTAAAGTGTGTCCTGGTATGGTGCTGTTGGATAGGTCCTGGACTGCTAACCACAAGGTTGGAAGTTCAAACCCACCAGCCACTTCTTGGAAACCCTATACAGGGTCGTTATGAATCAGAACTGACTGCACTTAATAACACCAACAAAGTAGATAATGGCTTATGATTTGGATATTATACACATTGATTTAGACAAAAATTTCAACCTTTTCTTTCTGCCTTAAAATAATCCTCTCTGTTCTT